AAATTCTCACTTGTGATATGTTTTCTGCTTTCTTCAATTTCATTCAGAAGACTTTTTACTGTTTTTTTTTTCGTTATCACGCTTTCCTCTCTTCCGATTACTCTTCATTTTTATATGACTATTTTCTCTGTGTATAAAGTTACATTTACACAAATTACCGAGACTTTTATGCCATACATTACTGATTTTGATAAAACATGCTGCTAAAAAACACATCTTATACCTAAGGTAGCAAGTGTTCTTTAATATTCACGCACTATCTTGGATTATACAATTCTTTAAGATATCCATTCTACGTTTCGAAACATTGTCTAATTGGTTTCAGTCTATTATTTGAAGGTTTCGTTTTTTAGACAGCATCATTCAACCTAAACACCGTATGAACTTCTGAAATGTAGTTTCAATTATCGCTTTGGTTTATATAACATGACCACCGTTCTTGCTGAAAGTTATATTTTTGTTTAAGTTTCGAAATTTTTATACAATTTAGGTATAAGAATCCCTGTAAAAACTCTTAACTGATCAATATGTTCGAGATTGTAATTTTCTTTTAAAAGTATAGTGTCCTTTTCTGATTACCATTCGTATATAACTTCTACTGGGGGTTTCAGAAAATATAAACAAACCATGGATTGAATGGTATCGCTCATTCATCTAGTAAAATTGAGTGAAGCTGGAGTAGACATTAGAATTTTCGAAGGCTTTCAACCTGTTATTTATTTATTTATTTATTATGCATACTGGATACACTCCTTGATACGGGAAGCAATATCATTTCCCTAAAAGAGAAAAGCTTAGATACAATGAACATAAGATCACAAACAAAATTATACAATAATAAATTATATAAGTAATAATTTATATTTAACTTAAGGTTTAATATTAAAATGTAATAATTAAAGTATACATTTGGGAGCATCTATAAAAAAATATAAGTTAGCAAAGAAAACACAGAACTGACAGATGCTCCTACTTTCTATCTATTGCTGCTGCACACTAACGTACAGTACAAGTCAAAAAGTAATTTTTGACTTGTACTGTACGTTAAAAATAATTTTTGACTTGTACGTTATTGTGAAGCCACAGAAATAAGTCAGATTAAAAAGCGCATATGAATTTTGTAAAAAATTTATTTATGTGCATCGAAAAAACAACCGATTCTGCTAAGTGTCAAGTTTACTTGCATCAAGACAGCAAAGCCAGACATTGACAGCTTTGATATTATACCTACCACACCTAAAAGAAGGGATGGTGTTTGGTAGACCATCCCAGATCAGACCTTTCTCGCCAAACCTGAACTGGCCTCACTTTTCCACCTGAAGACAGGTGAGAGACCAATCGAAAAGCGAAGAAGGAAAAGTCCAAGTAATTAAACTAAGAGTAGAAAACTAAATTTCTATAAGAACTCGAATCTTTAAGATCAAAGCACGCTCCCTCATAAGCAGTGTTGCCGCAATAAAATTTCAAAACGTACTGAAGCGCCTTTAAAAAATGTACTATTTTCCTTCAAAATGTACTAGTTCTATGAATACTTTGTTTACGTGCCTATATATATATATATATATAGGCACGTAATTAAATTACAAAATAACAAATAAATTACGTGGCTATATATATATAGGCACGTAATTTATATACATATATATAGCATATATATAGTTTATTGTCAAATAATTTAATTTTAAATCTTATTTTTGGAATTTTTTGAAAGCTATTTAAAATTAAAAATATATCTACACATCTATTACTTATTATAAAATGAGCATTACATTGACAACATTTATTAATAATACTATTGAATTTCATCTTAATTTTATAACCAATCGTGCTTTAAAAAAATAATTATAAATTTGTTATATTATTTTATTCTTTATTATACTTTAAATTTTTTTGATGTTATTGCATCACTTTACGAAGTGGTATATACGTAATTGCATCAGTTTTAGTACCTATTTAATTAATTTCAATCATGACAGCAAAAGATAAGGATGCTTGTTTCTTTTAAACTATTTGATGAAAACGTTACATAAAATTGGGGTTGCATAATCATCCGAAATTATTATTATATTTTTGACTGGAAATTACAGGATTTATGCAATTTTAGTTTAATTAATGTCATATAAAACTGACTGCTCGTACAAGTTTGCTTAAAACATGCAACTCAAAAAACCCCAAAATGGCGGCTCAAGAAGTAGATCACGCGTGTTTTGACCTTCTTATACAGATTTTGGAACAGTCGGAAGCGCGGCCATTTTGGAACCATACGTAACATTAACCCTTATTTCTTTTACTACGATTACTAAAATTGAAGTTCATAATTTAAGAATTAAATTATAGTAGTAGAAAATGTACCAAAAAAGTACAAATGTACTAGGAACGGCAACACTGCTCATAAGTGTCAACATACGCACTCTCACCTGTAAGCATCGAAAATTTGCATTTTCTAAAATTCGGACGTTTGATACAAATTTTTTTTTGTATCAAAGGTTTCTTACACTGACAAAGGAGTCTTTGCATGTTTCTACATGCAAGGACTCCTTTGTCAGTGTAAGAAACTTTTGACATTAATAAACAGTTTTCTGTAAGGCCCTGTTTTATATCCTGACTTCCTTCATTACTGCCCACATACCACATATGTGTGTGTCCTTATGCATTCATGACAAGAAAATAATAAATCTCTCCATTGTCCGTAAGTTCCCATACTCATACTGGTGTCAAAGAAATGGAATTTTAAATCCGATCTCCTCACTGTTGTCAAACTCAAATTACGGCGAATTACACTTAGCAGCTAAATTTGAATATAAAGTCTTAATTTCAGACTCTCTTGCAGTATCTGTAATATATTTTAAAATGATGATATTGCATTCTCCATCGTCCGTAGATAAAAATCCATCATCTTTCCTTCAAAATCACTAAATTGTTAAACTAGTTTAAACTAGACGACAGAACGGATACTGTTTCTGTCGACGATTTCTGTCGTTCGTGGCCGCATGTGAGTACCAGGCTTTATACAGATACTGAATGATTAACGTAATAAAACATGTAATGACATGCTAGTGATAATAGGTTTGCAAGTATAAACAACATAAAACATGTACAATATTAGAAGCAGAAAACAAGTGTTTTTTGTTCACAAATCACAAACTTAGTCAATATTCAATTTGAATAAAACTGAAAATTTGCTTTTTAGAAATGATGTCTCGATTGGTAATTTATGATATTTTTACTGAGCAAAGCCTAATCTACTGAGGTAAGACTTTCATTTTATTGTCTGAATTTTTCAAATAAATTTCCACGTTAGGTTTTGACTTGTTTGATACCCAATGCTCCGTTCATCACTTCCATGTGAAAAAAATTTCATTTGGAAAATATAATTAACACTGAGAAAAAATACATTTAAAAAAACCAAATCTTCGACTTTAAACTATTTGACGCTAAAAAAATGTCTTGATATTCTTGTATGTTGTTTTCTGGCACACAGTTGCTTGATATTTGTGCAGAATTTCGTGAATTTCGATTAAACAACAGAAAAGTTATCCGAGATAAAAAAAAACAGCTTCTTCCACTCATACGATCGGATATTTTAACTTTTATCTAACTATTTCAAATATATGTGTTTAGTCGTGCCAAAAAACTACCGTTATGTTTCAGATGCAGTTCCCTTAATTGAGACAACAAAATCTTACATGTGGCTGCTTTTAACGAGCGACAATAATTTCTCAAAGACTTTGCCCACATAAATGCAGACTGATTTTATTGTTTTATTTTTTATATTTAACTTACTTTACTTTATTTATTTACTTTACTTTACTGTAGTTTAATTTAATTTCTTTATCGCAATTCTTTTTTATCTGTACTTTTTTTCAAATGTCTTTTCTCAACAATAAATCACTTTATCATCTTTAATTTGTGACATATTACTGCTCAAAATCTTTGGCCAAGCTGACTACATCATAAACATTATCTTGTGTTTCTCGATGTCACCTATCTTGTTTCAAAATAACAAATAATTTCCCCTTATCACCCGTGATCGCGATTCCTTCGGTCATTATTTAAAAAACGATTAAATGAATGGATGTAATTTATTTCCTATTTGTCCTTGTTCATTATCTCAACAAATTTCAAGATTGTACAACAGGAAACTTTTTATAACATTAGTTTACATAATTTTTATGGGCCCAATAAAAAAATGGAAAAATTTTAATTAAAATGATATGTACGTTTCGAACTTCTTATAAACCAATGTGGCTCGGTAAAATTTATTTACATAGTATGGGATGTTGATTGTGACATCTACAAGTTTTTTTATTCAAAAGAATTTTTTTATAAAACTATTTTGCAGTACCCACGTATTATAACAGCATAAAATTCAGAAAATTTGTGTTATATTTTAGAATAATTATTAATTAATACACTCCCTATTGAAACCCCAACTTACCTTGAAAAATACACGTGAATATCTTGGGAACCACTCTCAACAGCTAAAACTATATAGCACTGTAAGTTGCATTTATCAAGTTGCTAGCGGTGTCAAATGGAAGAATAATAATTTCTCCAGCTATATTTTTTAATTAATAGGATTTATTTTATTTTTTCATATAAAGTATATATGAGTATATTCTTGTAGCGATTTTTTCGCGAAAATTTTGTTAATCTCAAATTCACTTCTACCTGGAAATGATTATTTAATATAAAATATTTTAAAAATATGCTTTTTTGAGCGGTTTCTCATTAAAAAAAAGTTAGGTGTTATGAGGATAATTACAAACAATTACCTTTCAAGACTAAACTGAAATTTATGATTTTAAATATGTTAGAAAAACTCCTGCAATGGTTCGAACATATCATCACTTCTTATTGAAATATAATGCAAATTGGAAATATGTAGCGGTTTTGCAGGGCCTGTAGAACGTCGTCAGAAATGCCGGGTTAATGGCAACATCTGACGACCATCTACAAACTTTCAATAAAAAGACTAACATTTTCGAATTTTAATTTAGGATTTTCTCCTTCTTCAAGAAAAAGACAGCAATGCAGTCACAATTGCAACCGAAGCAGCAAATTTAACCAAATGTGGAATATGGATGAAGAATGTAACAGCTGTATGGAAAAAAGTAAGACATAGTTACAATTTTAATAAAATAATAACGTATGAAATCGTTACAATCGTGTACAATATAATATTGCAAAAGTAAAAGAAAAAAAACTTTCAAAATTTTCAATTGTTGAAATTCTTTTAGAAAATTTAATTTTTTAACTGTTTTTATTTGCTTCAAGCATGCTTTTATTACTTTTTAATAAAATGCAAACTTTCCCTACTAATATTTTCAAAGCTTCATTACTGTAACGTTGTTATGTTGGTTGTACAGAATTACAATAAAATAATAATACTGAGGCTTCCTTTTAAAAAGTGTCGATACAAAAGACTTTTATACGCTAAACATCCTTTGGAAAAATCAATATTAAACAACATCAGAGAGCATTGTATTTTTGATAGATAAGTAACTTGCATTTCGATCCGAGAATATAAAAATTTCTTCAGCAGTTCGGTTGGCAATGGAAAATAAGACACCAGAAATGTTACTGTTCATGGGATTAGCACTTGACTTGTGATTGTCTTCAAGGGACGGTCATATACGAAACTTTGCGTTTTTAAATATCCACATTACATTAAGAAGAATAGGGGCAACTTTACATTTTACCACCTGTATTCAATAATTATCAACTATTTAAAAAATATCAGTAATAACAAAAACATAATTAAAATTGTATACATCAACCAAAGCCGAATATTATCAGGTTGAAAACGGCTATAATACAGTAATACCCCGAACTTACGCGATAGGTGGGACCGAGCGGTAACCGCGTAAGTCGAATTCGCGTAAGTCGGGGTATAATTTCGCATATAAATACATACAAATAATTTTTAATTGTTGCCGGAGACTAAAGAAAACAATAATTTAGAAAAAAATGTTTAATAAAATCTTAGATAATACATATGTATAACAAATTAGGCCTATATTATTTTACAATTTTTCACATTTACTTGATTATCACGCCATAATTTTAACATTGTTTCCATCTCAGCGATAATACTGTGACGTTTACGAATGATGCTTGAATTTAAAGATTGAGCATTTTTCACAGCTTCGAGAATTTTTTCNAGACTAAAGAAAACAATAATTTAGAAAAAAATGTTTAATAAAATCTTAGATAATACATATGTATAACAAATTAGGCCTATATTATTTTACAATTTTTCACATTTACTTGATTATCACGCCATAATTTTAACATTGTTTCCATCTCAGCGATAATACTGTGACGTTTACGAATGATGCTTGAATTTAAAGATTGAGCATTTTTCACAGCTTCGAGTATTTTTTCTTTGCCTTTTATAATTGTTCTGACCGACAATTTCGGTAGATCAAGCTTCTTTGCCAATTCACAAATTTTCATTTTTGTATCGAAGTTTTTAATAATGGGTACGTTCGTAAAGTCAAACGAGTTAAACGCGTTAGTAACGAATCGTTCGAAAAGTCTAACGAAATAGGAATAACGATGATGTCATTCTCGTTTAACTCGTTCGACTTTACGAACAATCCAATGTTAACTTTACACTCCAAAAATAAAGTTTTTTTTTCTTGTTTGACGCAAAAGAATTAGTTCTACTTCGTTTGGATGACAGTCTCTCAAGTCTCCGTAGATATAACAAACACAGAAATAAATAACACAAAATAAATTTAGCTATGTGTGGATTACGCGCGACACATCCGAACATGTAAGCTGAACAATAGTGTGGGGGAGTGAGTAATCAAGGGTTGCGTGGCGCTCAAACAAAAGACAAGATTTGAAAATCGCGTAACTCAGGGTTCGCGTAAGTCGGGGTAGCGTAAGTCAAGGTACTACTGTACTAATAATTTAATAGACAATTCGGCATTCGTGCTAGGTGTTAGGCGCCATCTCTCGATAAATTTAATAATTATAATTTAATTTAATTTAAATAATAATTTTAGAATTACTAGAAAAAAAATTGTATAAAAATAGATTTTCAGTTGTCGTTTATTATCGATAATAAAGAATGTATACTCTAGTTTAAGTTTATGTTCTATCAGTTTTTAAAAATAATATAATAGTGCCATTATTATCAATAAATTTATAGTATAACAAGCTGCAAGTACCCGCTTCGCTGGGTTTTTATTTGTGGGCAAAAAATAACGATAGTGAAGATTAAGATACTTACATTATAGCTACAGTAAAACCCCTCTAATCCGTCACCTTTAGACTGGGGGTATGGTCGGAACGCAAAAAAGGTCGGATTATCAGAAAAAAGTGAAATAACAATATTCCCCTTTGTTTAGTCTTTGTGCACCGCTAATTTTTCATTTAATGAAAGAGTAACGTGTTTACGTTTCACTCCCGACATGTGGAAAACACACACAAAACTGTAGACGTACACACTATGTAAAACATATACTGTAACGAACACAGAAAAACGCCACGGACGGTGAGTCACCGACGAGTCGAGACAAGTTTTTCTACTACGACCACGGTCGGATTAACCGGAGCGACGCACTAGCCGAGGGCGGACTAGAGGGGTTCTACTGTAATCTTACCCGTTTTCACAGAATGGAAGAATTAGGCCCTTCGTTTCCAGACTAATTAGAGAATTTATAAAAATATGTCGGATTTTTCGCAAAACGCAAAAAACTGCTTGTAAATCTTGCATGCCGCTTTATATTAATACTTCCTTTGTTACTCAACACTTCCATTGTTAACATTTCCATTGTTGACACTTCCATTGTTACACATCTTCTAAGTCAACCACTTTCAAACCCATATCTCCCGCACCCTTATAGCTATCGAGACACAACCACCATAGTGCACGAATGGAGACTTGGGGTTACTACCACATACAAACACCATTCATGTAGGATGTGTAGTCTTTGCTGAAAAGTGAAATATAGGGACACACACGTTTATTTATATATATATTAGTTATATATATTAATATTAGTTTAAGATAAGTTGAATATATTATAGTAACTTTTGTATTTTTAAAAGGAGACTGAGCCAACATTGAATGATATTTCCTTAAGCATAAAAACTGGAGAATTGTTAACTGTTATAGGTCCTGTTGGATCAGGAAAGGTAAATATCTTGTTTTTAAAGCTTTACATTTTAAATGAATTTTATTCTATGTAATTTTTTATTTGTTTAGAAAAAAAATAGTGCATCGTATTTCGGATTTCATTCATTCTAAGATGCCGTTAAAAGTCCGAACCAGTTTTTATGTTAAAAATAATAAAAAATGATTTTATCTATTTTCAGATAGAAAATGATACCGATCTCGATTAATTAATTAAAGTAAAACAGCAAATACACATTAATGAATACACTGTAATTGAACGCTGTACTTTATCTTTCTCATTTGACAAAAAACTAAAAAAAGAAAAATTAGCAGGAATATTTGGAAAAAAAAATTGAAATTTATAAAAGTAAATTGATTACTTGTTGCATTAATATCAGAGATGCAGAAGAGTTAATAACTTAAATATTTAGTAACAAAAACTTTGCAGTTGTTCTTGTAATTACATTATAAATGCAGTGTATTTCAAATCAACTAATAAAACGATTCATTAATTTCGTTAGACGTCTCTATTAATGTCGATGTTGGGAGAGATTCCAATAACTTCTGGTAAAGTGTCGGTGAAAGGAAAGATCGCTTACGCTTCACAAGAAGCTTGGGTATTCAATGAAACAATCAAAGAAAATATCTTGTTCGGAGAAGAATATCAAGAAGACAAATATAGAAAAATTTTGCATATAACGGCCTTGGAAAAGGTGAGAAACTGGTGGTTATCCTGTTTTTACAGAAACTAGTTTATTTATTTTGATTGAAAGGAAAACTTTTATTACGGCTACGAGTAACACGTAAAGTACTCCTTATATTTATATACAGTTAATATATCAGAATAATTGTTTACTGCATTTCTTCTTACGATTTTGAAATAATTTGAGTTTATAAGTTTTAGACAGTGTAAATAATATTTTTGAATTTTATATTTCAGTTTGGTTTGCAGTAAATGTTAAAACCCTAACTACGTTATAAGTGTAAAATATTATCCCAATTAAATCTTTATCTTCAGTTTAATTCTAGCTGTAGAGGTCCAGAATGCACCATCTTTTTTTCATGCTACTCTCTTATGCGCTTTCTCCTTTAGCTCTTTATAACTACCATCCTTTACGATATATACCTTTTTAATTACTTTTCTTCCCCGTTTTTTTTCTTGCAATGATTCCTTTCATAAAGTCATTTTATAGCACCTCCTCTCGATCATGTGCCCAAACTAATTATCTTTTCGCCTCATTATTGTTTGTAACAGTTTTAAATATTTTAAAATATTTTTATATATTTTAATTTATACACCCACACATGTTAGGACTTCTTTATTTGTCAGCTTATTGTTTTATCAGACTTTCTGTATTTTTCTTCACAGCCACATCTTTAGAGTATCTGTTCTAATCTATCGTTTTTAATTTAAGTTCCAGCACCATAGAGGAAAATACTTTAGATGAAACATTTGATGAGCCTTTTTAAATAACAATTTCACAGGCTTACACAAAATTGTTTCATTTTGCTAAATGTCATTTTCGCCATACCGATTTTCCTCTTGGTTTTTTTTTTTTTTTTTTTTTCGCGCTTCCACATTCACGGTGAAAGTAAGCACCAGGTATCTTACTCTGTTCACTTGTTCCATTCTTTTGCGGCGACAAATCATGGACTGGTAAGATGGTGCCACTCCTCTAGGAGTTTCCCGTGAATCCCGGATTGAAAAACGGGGACAAGGATTTTTCCCGGAGGGGATTCTGAGTATTGTTGCTTCTTCTTGTCGGGTGATCGCTGACATGAGCACGTGTAGCTCTCTCTCAAGTTTACTCGTAAGATTGTTGTAAATAAATGTTGTTTTAGTTTAAAACGTGGTCGTGGTCTTAACTAATTCACGTTTACCGCCTTCTGATAAAGACAGTCTTTGTGGAGATGAAAATGGATGGAGAAAGACGGCCAGGTTTTGTCTAACCGATGGCGGCCATCCATTATTTCCACTTTCATCATTTATATGGATGTTGACAATTCTTACCTTTTCTCTGATCTATAGTACTTTTTTGTGATAATTAATTCTTATTTTTATGACCGCGACTCTTCTTCACTCCACTCAGGATTATTGTAATTTTACTCTTGCTCTTGGCTAGAATTGCAACATCATCAGCATACCTTAAGCGCTGTATCTGCCGTCCCCTGATTTTAATGTTTTTTTTTTTATCTAGATATATCTTAATCACATTTCCATGTATATATTGAAAAGAAGTAGTAATAGGTAACACCCCGTTTAACCTATTTTTAATTCTGATTTCTTTAGTGTGTTGACCATTTACATTACTATCTGATGTTTGTATAAGTTGAAATTAATCTTTTGTTATTCCAATCCACCCCTTTCTTTCTCAAAATGTACATCAACTTTTCCCAGTTAATTTTGCAAATACGCTAACATTTCTTTCCACATTTCAAAGTACCGTTTTCCTATGCTTCTCAGCATCCCTATCGCATCTGAAATTTTTCTTCTCATTATGATCCCGAACTGTTTTTCCCTGATGAATAAGTTCGGTTTTCTGTAGAAGCGTTTCCTTAATATTCTTAAAAGGATTTTTGGAGAATGGAGATTTGGCTAATTTTTCTCATTTGCTTTTTATCTTTCTTCGAAATGAAATTTAAAATATTTATCAGAAAGTCGTGAGGACACATGTTCTATTATAGATCAAGTTGCATAGCCTGGAAATTTTCGTAATTCCGTTTTCGGCCATATTCTTATTGAATTTTATAGGGATGTTATGGATGCTTTCTGATTTTCTATTTCTAAATCTTTTTACATTACTTATAACAACTTCTATCAAAATTAAAGCTCCCCGTTCGCCTTTATCCATATATCATTTTTTTCCTTCTAGCTTCAGTTCTACATTATCTTTTGTTCTGTACATATTACTTTCGTATTTGTGCTATCTATGCAAGTTATTTTATTTATTTATACTTATTCAATTTTTTTACGCTAATAGTTATTCTGATAGCCCTTCTGAATAAAAATGCGTCCTTAAGTTTATCATAAATTAGATAAATCAGCTTTGACGTTTCCAGACTTTCTTCTCATTTACCAAATGATCGAGCAAACCAAAAATGAGTTGCTTGTTCAAGCGACTCATTTCTGATTTGCTCGATCATTCTTCTTAGCTTTGTTCGGTTCTATGTATTTCAGTCATTCTTCTTTAGAATTCACAACCTTTTCTTTTGATCGTTTTAATTACTATGTCCTCTGTATCCAAAGGTTTGCGAGTTCTTTCATTTTCTAGTTTTGCAGTCCGTTCCTCTACTGTGACACGAATCGTCTCTTTCATTGATATCCATAATTCACTTTAGTGTTACAGCGTCGTTTTCTCTTATTTCTTTTAATGATAGTTCAGGTACTATTTTAAAAATTTTTAAATTCCTTTTCAAAGTTTAAAAATTATTTTTCTGACTTACTTCTTCCTCTTTGCGATCTTAAACCTCATTTTCAATTTTTCAAGTAAAAAGTTTTGATCTGTTTATATATCTGTACCTAGGTAGCTGCTTACATTTTAAATACATTTTTAAAATTTTTTNCACGTAAAGTACTCCTTACATTAATGTACAGTTAATTTATCAGAATAATTGTTTACTGCATTTCTTCTTACGATTTTGAAGTAATTTGAGTTTATAATTATTAGAGAGCATTAATAATATTTTTGAATTTTATATTTCAGTTTGGTTTGCAGTAAATGTTAAAACCCTAACTACGTTATAAGTGTAAAATATTATCCCAATTAAATCTTTATCTTCAGTTTAATTCTAGCTGTAGAGGTCCAGAATGCACCATCTTTTTTTCATGCTACTCTCTTATGCGCTTTCTCCTTTAGCTCTTTATAACTACCATCCTTTACGATATATACCTTTTTAATTACTTTTCTTCCCCGTTTTTTTTCTTGCAATGATTCCTTTCATAAAGTCATTTTATAGCACCTCCTCTCGATCATGTGCCCAAACTAATTATCTTTTCGCCTCATTATTGTTTGTAACAGTTTTAAATATTTTAAAATATTTTTATATATTTTAATTTATACACCCACACATGTTAGGACTTCTTTATTTGTCAGCTTATTGTTTTATCAGACTTTCTGTATTTTTCTTCACAGCCACATCTTTAGAGTATCTGTTCTAATCTATCGTTTTTAATTTAAGTTCCAGCACCATAGAGGAAAATACTTTAGATGAAACATTTGATGAGCCTTTTTAAATAACAATTTCACAGGCTTACACAAAATTGTTTCATTTTGCTAAATGTCATTTTCGCCATACCGATTTTCCTCTTGGTTTTTTTTTTTTTTTTTTTTTCGCGCTTCCACATTCACGGTGAAAGTAAGCACCAGGTATCTTACTCTGTTCACTTGTTCCATTCTTTTGCGGCGACAAATCATGGACTGGTAAGATGGTGCCACTCCTCTAGGAGTTTCCCGTGAATCCCGGATTGAAAAACGGGGACAAGGATTTTTCCCGGAGGGGATTCTGAGTATTGTTGCTTCTTCTTGTCGGGTGATCGCTGACATGAGCACGTGTAGCTCTCTCTCAAGTTTACTCGTAAGATTGTTGTAAATAAATGTTGTTTTAGTTTAAAACGTGGTCGTGGTCTTAACTAATTCACGTTTACCGCCTTCTGATAAAGACAGTCTTTGTGGAGATGAAAATGGATGGAGAAAGACGGCCAGGTTTTGTCTAACCGATGGCGGCCATCCATTATTTCCACTTTCATCATTTATATGGATGTTGACAATTCTTACCTTTTCTCTGATCTATAGTACTTTTTTGTGATAATTAATTCTTATTTTTATGACCGCGACTCTTCTTCACTCCACTCAGGATTATTGTAATTTTACTCTTGCTCTTGGCTAGAATTGCAACATCATCAGCATACCTTAAGCGCTGTATCTGCCGTCCCCTGATTTTAATGTTTTTTTTTTTATCTAGATATATCTTAATCACATTTCCATGTATATATTGAAAAGAAGTAGTAATAGGTAACACCCCGTTTAACCTATTTTTAATTCTGATTTCTTTAGTGTGTTGACCATTTACATTACTATCTGATGTTTGTATAAGTTGAAATTAATCTTTTGTTATTCCAATCCACCCCTTTCTTTCTCAAAATGTACATCAACTTTTCCCAGTTAATTTTGCAAATACGCTAACATTTCTTTCCACATTTCAAAGTACCGTTTTCCTATGCTTCTCAGCATCCCTATCGCATCTGAAATTTTTCTTCTCATTATGATCCCGAACTGTTTTTCCCTGATGAATAAGTTCGGTTTTCTGTAGAAGCGTTTCCTTAATATTCTTAAAAGGATTTTTGGAGAATGGAGATTTGGCTAATTTTTCTCATTTGCTTTTTATCTTTCTTCGAAATGAAATTTAAAATATTTATCAGAAAGTCGTGAGGACACATGTTCTATTATAGATCAAGTTGCATAGCCTGGAAATTTTCGTAATTCCGTTTTCGGCCATATTCTTATTGAATTTTATAGGGATGTTATGGATGCTTTCTGATTTTCTATTTCTAAATCTTTTTACATTACTTATAACAACTTCTATCAAAATTAAAGCTCCCCGTTCGCCTTTATCCATATATCATTTTTTTCCTTCTAGCTTCAGTTCTACATTATCTTTTGTTCTGTACATATTACTTTCGTATTTGTGCTATCTATGCAAGTTATTTTATTTATTTATACTTATTCAATTTTTTTACGCTAATAGTTATTCTGATAGCCCTTCTGAATAAAAATGCGTCCTTAAGTTTATCATAAATTAGATAAATCAGCTTTGACGTTTCCAGACTTTCTTCTCATTTACCAAATGATCGAGCAAACCAAAAATGAGTTGCTTGTTCAAGCGACTCATTTCTGATTTGCTCGATCATTCTTCTTAGCTTTGTTCGGTTCTATGTATTTCAGTCATTCTTCTTTAGAATTCACAACCTTTTCTTTTGATCGTTTTAATTACTATGTCCTCTGTATCCAAAGGTTTGCGAGTTCTTTCATTTTCTAGTTTTGCAGTCCGTTCCTCTACTGTGACACGAATCGTCTCTTTCATTGATATCCATAATTCACTTTAGTGTTACAGCGTCGTTTTCTCTTATTTCTTTTAATGATAGTTCAGGTACTATTTTAAAAATTTTTAAATTCCTTTTCAAAGTTTAAAAATTATTTTTCTGACTTACTTCTTCCTCTTTGCGATCTTAAACCTCATTTTCAATTTTTCAAGTAAAAAGTTTTGATCTGTTTATATATCTGTACCTAGGTAGCTGCTTACATTTTAAATACATTTTTAAAATTTTTTTAATAAATATAATTCATTTACATTTCTTAATATTATATTGAATAACAATAAAAATTGTGTTTACTTCAAATAAAGTTAAGAATGTAGATTATGTACAACACAATTACTTTGTGTTTTTATTTTTACGTTCTTTAGGATATAAGCTTATTTCCTAAAAAAGATCTGACTATTGTAGGAGAAAGAGGAGTGATTATGAGCGGTGGACAAAAGGCAAGAATTAATCTAGCAAGGTAAATTACATTTTATCCTAACGTTATATTACCAGGATTGCAGATGTCGGAATGTAAACTTAATGGGAATAAGACAGACACAAGGTAATCATAACTCAATTTAATAAATTCGAAGATTAACTTATATGTACGTATCTTTTACATACTAACAACAAACAGTGTACATCATTTCTTGCCATACTCGGTAAATGTTTCTTAACTGTAGGAATTTTCCTTTTGCATTCCCATGTTCTGTACATAGCTGGAAAGTGTAATAAGTCAGAAATTTTCAAAAGTTAATGTGTTAAAAAAGCGAATAAACACTTTTTATCATATTGGATTACATCCCTTTACAATGGATACTCTCATTTTTTCAATGCCTTTTTTTAATGTCTGATTTTCTTTTTCTACTCATAAAATACCATATTCGTGTCTAGTACAAGACAGGAATAACTATTATGTAAGTTTTTTGTAAAATAAGTAAATTTTCCTAATTTCTTAACATTTTACTAACCATGTAAATGATAAATAGCTTCACATTATATGACACACAGCCTCACCTAGGTGTAGAATAAACGAAGTATAAAGAAAATATATATATGAGATGGGAAGCAACAATATATTAAGTAAATTTAGGTTTAGTTCCTATGCTCGTGTAATTATTTCTTGCTTAAAATTTATTGTGTTTCAATGTTACGTTTCTATGTCTTCTAGAGCACTGTATCTAGATGCAGATATTTTCCTCCTTGACGATCCACTAAGTGCTGTTGACGTTCCAGTGGCGAAACATATATTCGAAAAGTACATATTCAAGTAATATTATGTACAAGAAATTATTACAAAAGTCTGCTTCTAGCTCTTGGAATAAATATATTAATTAAATTATCAACAACAGTGTGGTAGATAATAGTGAGGGCTTATCAGACCAATGATGGGCACAAACGTTTAGGAAACAAAGTGAAAATAATTATTAAACACAAAAATTACTACATAAGTATGGAAACAAAAAAAAACAAAATACATTTCAGACTATTTTCTGCTAGAAATTAGTCCCTCATCAGTTGGTATTAACTAAAGTTTTTAGTAGGCCTACTGTATAATTAAAATTATACAAGTTAAACTTAAAACTATGCCTATAGCTATAAAATATAAAGATGAAAACGCCATTCTAACTGTACGAGCAGTAAGCATTATCAGTGTAGACAGGTGTAATAAATCTTCATAACGTTCCAGGGGTGGAGTGACGTACAGTGTGCTGAACAAAACAGTTATACTAAAGTTATACAAACAGATTATGTACATACCAAAAACAATAAGACGACAGAGTTGCAGGTGCTAGCATTACAAGGTGCTGGAAGCGATAGGAAGGAATGTGTGTAACAGTTCACATCTAGTGCTTAAGTCGTGACAACAAGGTGTTAAAATTGACGAAAAATGGCTAATTATATTCTTTAAAACTACATATCTTTGTGATGTCACGACTATATATTGTTAAAAAAAAAAAACTGTTGTAAACTTGTAATTGTATCATATGATGTCACCACCTGTGAACCAAATGGAAACTGTTACACGCATTCCTTACTACTGCTCCCAGCACCTTGTTGTAATGTTTGCACCTACAAATGTGTCGTCTTACTGTTTTTGGTATGTACCGGTACATAATCTGTCTGTATGACTTTAGTTTATAACTATAATCCAATAATTGGCTAACTTATGATTGTTTTGTTCAGCACCCTGTACGTCACGCCACCCGTTATGAAGATTTATTACACCTGTCTGCACTGATAATGCTTACTGCTCATACAGTTATAAAGGAATTTTTATTTATATGTATGTATATATATATTAGTGTCCATAGGGCGGAAAGAGTTAAAAAAAAATATATATTTTTTAACTCTCTCCCCCCTGTGGGCACTAACAGGACCTCTTTTTGCAAGCCCATTATAGGTTTGACCAGAACCACAATGGGGCTGCCGAGTGGTGAGGGACGGAGCCCGACATATCCGAACGGACCCCCCCGAAAATATCCTGGTGATTTTTCGACCCGTTCGGATTCGAACCCGGGACTCCCAGAGTTGGTAGGCTGCCACCGTGACTGCTTGCCATCTAGCCGCTTCATCTATATATTGTATAGCTTTAGGTATAGTTTTAAGTTTAACTTAACCTTGTATAATTTTAATTATACTAAACACTTTAGTTAATATCAACTGATCAGGGACTATTTTCTATTAGAAAATAATTCGAAATTAATATAAGGTCTTTTCGTTTCCCTTCGTATAAAGACATTTTTGTGTTATTAAACGTTTTCACTTTTATACCTGAGCGTTTGTGCACATCATTGGTCTTATAAGCCTTCACTATTATCTTGTTGGTAGTTTAATTAATATAATATTATGTACATTTTTTATATATTTCAATAGTTCGTTTATTGCAGATGTATAACGGAATATTTGAAAGAAAAGATTTGCATTCTCGTTACACATCAAATACAATTTTTAAACTCTGCAAGTAAAATTCTAGTGTTGAACAAGGTGAATATATTAGTTGTTTACTTGTTTTGTTTTCTAATTATTTTTAAAAATGAAATACAACATAAAGAAGTTGTCTCGAAAATTTCTGGATATCATGATCCTTCCTAACACATCCAGCCAGTTACGTTTTTTCCATAAGACTGTCCTCGCACCTTAAACGAAAGCAGTAGTTGTGTTAACTTCATTAGCAATGAAGTTAACACAAAAAACCTTGCTTATTAGAACAAAAGATAATATCATCACTATGAATTTTGCTCTCTTTTGTTGTATGTTTTACGTATAATTACCTCCTATCCACATGAACAAACAGAAAAATATATACAACAGATAAATTGTTACCACTGATTTATTCAATATTTATATACAAAAGTAAACTTTTTTTACACAACATTCAGTGAACATTATTTATTAGTGTGGCTTTTTGTAAATATTGTTTAAACTTTCTTTTTTCCAACAACTTACATAATCACTTTTTTTATTTTTATTTTTGCGTCATTGAAGGTAGCAATGAATTTCCATAAACAAGTCGAAAGATATGCTTTGTTGCTTCTTTCATATTAAATTTATTTTCTGTCCTGTAATGTAAAAATATAACTTGTTATAGATTTTTATAAATCGTAAAATTCATTCACCTGAATGAAATAAGTTATGCTGAATATACCCATGTACCAATTAAATATTTTATGCCACATCAAGTTATTTGTTTATCTGACTACTTTTCAATCTAACATTTAGATTCTTGGCAATTTATATTACGATTATCTCTATCATTGGAGTAACCCATCAATATGTTCTACAAGGTCTAATATAATCTGTTCGCATTTATCTTGTCTTTGCATTCTTATTCTGTGTGTTTTTATAACTTTTAGTTAACTTATAGTTGGACCAATTCAAGCGATTCTGGAAGTATTGATGTGATATCATTAGATGCTTAAAGAATATAATTTACATATATTCCGCGAATCAGATTTTCGTATCTTATTTGAAATAAATACAGGTGAATTCCAAATTTAGTCAACAAATTGTGCAAACTATTTTCAGTTCACTTTTTAGCTTGTATATTACTTTCCTGACCATAAACATTTTCCTTCGTGAATATTTTCCCGCCATTTTTAAAGGTATTTTCATGCAAATCTCTCTATCCAGATTCGCATGAATATGTACTGTTCTCACATCTTACTATTTTGTTACGAAGTTATTTCGACTCCAATGCTAGAGAACTTTTCAACATCATGAACTTTATTAATAAAAAGTAGATAATCAAGTAGTAAATTTCATACAACATCCTTGAACTATTTTGGCCTTAAATGTTGGTTCCTGTTTTATCTCTTCCATGTTAAAATTGAATATCTATTTCACTTCAATGCTGTTATATTGGATACTGTTTTTGTAGTCTCATGTTTCCACTAAAAATGAGATTATAACTTTTCTTTCAGGATTTCTATCCACTCAGATTTCCAACTTCGTTATGGTATTTTGTTTTTGCAATATCTTTAAACTGAATACAGTACGTTTTCTGAGAAAAAATTACCAATAGTTACTCACTTTTTTTCTAATTTTGGTAGTGTTTCACTTGCTCTTTATTCTCTTCAATCTTTTTAAAGTCCTTGTTACCCAATATCTCTGATTGATGCTTAGTGTGTAAAGATCTGTGTGCATATACCATCTTGTTATGTGATGATTTCCCATTTAAAAAGTAAGATCTAGGTTGAAGTTACAAAAGTTCTGCATTTCTAGAATGAGTTAACTTTTTTTATAGGTTCACACAGACGAAAATCCTTTCTGTTTTTGGCATCACCCACAGAAATATTTTATTTTACTGTTCAATATTCTTGTATATTCTTTCGATGTTTATGCGTATATTAAAAAAACCAAACCTTATAAAAAAACGGAAGGCTTCTGTTCACTCCAATATTTTCTGTTGCGAAGAAAAACTTTTGAATTTCTGTGAACTATAGCTTTATTACTTAAATCTCTTAAATCTTCATCCACCGTTCGGTGCCATTAGCTGTCCAAAATTTTTGTAGTTCCTCTTTCGTTTTTGTTTGTACCAGTTAAATAAATGTCTGGTTTTCCTCAAAATACTTAATCCTTACATTTAAAAAATCTTACAGATATTTTCGTCTTGTTCTCATCCACTATTACCAACTAAATATTTAGGATAATACTTGTATTGTATCACATAATTCCACTTATATAATTTTTAAGATTTTCCTACTTCTTATATTTTGTTTAGTAAACAATACGGTTCATAAATTTAAAAATCGGCTTGTTCTGGTGAAAACAGGCCTGGTGGCAAAACTATAGTCTATTCTTATCACAGTTGTCAGTGAAATGATAATATTGAGAAATCGTGCTGCCAAACAAAACGACATCACTGATAACAATTGTTAATAATTTCTAACTAATGTTTCATGTATTTTAAATAAGGCGTTTATATTTTAAATTACGAAATACAAATTAATTTTCGATGGTTTAACAAAAATGAACCATTATTCAATTTTATTTAAAATGTAATATTGAGTGCACTTGAGGACTAAGATAATAATTGGATTTAAATACAGTAGAGCATCGATTATCCGACCCCCGATTAACCCTCACCTCGGTTAACCGACCGCGTTCTAGTCGGTAAATTCAAATGTCCGCTAGTGATGTGGCGCTACATTATTTGCCTATGTCTTGACTACTTTAATATTATTTTTACATGTTTTAACTGGCAACATTGGCTCGACCATGAAAGGTAGCCAGTATTTAAACGAGGCTTAATTTTCTAATTTTTAACGATACAGTAGTGACGATTAAAAACATTTTTGTTAGGCTGTACTACACTAATAATAGATTTTTTCATACTTTTCGGTTATCCGACTTTTCAATTATCCGACCAATCCCAGTTTCCAATTGAGTCGGATAATCGATGCTCTACTGTACTGCATCTAGTTTAAACAAGTAGTTACAGTGGAACTCCGGTTACCGATCATATCGGTTAACGTATTTTTATTTAAAAAATCTTACAGATATTTTCGTCTTGTTCTCATCCACTATTACCAACTAAATATTTAGGATAATACTTGTATTGTATCACATAATTCCACTTATATAATTTTTAAGATTTTCCTACTTCTTATATTTTGTTTAGTAAACAATACGGTTCATAAATTTAAAAATCGGCTTGTTCTGGTGAAAACAGGCCTGGTGGCAAAACTATAGTCTATTCTTATCACAGTTGTCAGTGAAATGATAATATTGAGAAATCGTGCTGCCAAACAAAACGACATCACTGATAACAATTGTTAATAATTTCTAACTAATGTTTCATGTATTTTAAATAAGGCGTTTATATTTTAAATTACGAAATACAAATTAATTTTCGATGGTTTAACAAAAATGAACCATTATTCAATTTTATTTAAAATGTAATATTGAGTGCACTTGAGGACTAAGATAATAATTGGATTTAAATACAGTAGAGCATCGATTATCCGACCCCCGATTAACCCTCACCTCGGTTAACCGACCGCGTTCTAGTCGGTAAATTCAAATGTCCGCTAGTGATGTGGCGCTACATTATTTGCCTATGTCTTGACTACTTTAATATTATTTTTACATGTTTTAACTGGCAACATTGGCTCGACCATGAAAGGTAGCCAGTATTTAAACGAGGCTTAATTTTCTAATTTTTAACGATACAGTAGTGACGATTAAAAACATTTTTGTTAGGCTGTACTACACTAATAATAGATTTTTTCATACTTTTCGGTTATCCGACTTTTCAATTATCCGACCAATCCCAGTTTCCAATTGAGTCGGATAATCGATGCTCTACTGTACTGCATCTAGTTTGAACAAGTAGTTACAGTGGAACTCCGGTTACCGATCATATCGGTTAACGTATTTTTATTTAAAAAAAAAATTGTCTTGCATAACGGACAAAATCGAAAACGAACGTAACGTTTTTTGTGTTAAAGTTTAGTTGCTATTAGGCATGTGCGAATTAAGCATTGCTCTTCCGAGTGTTTGTACTGAACTTCTTTTCTCAGTTTTGTGATTTATATATTTAATCAATATGGCATCGAAAAAAGAAAAAAGTAATAGGTGCAACAAAAAACGACAATGCTCTATCGCATTTGAGAGAAATGTTGATTAAAAGAGTAAGACAATAAACTTTAGATGAATTTGTTGTTCCTTACCAAAAGAGACCTGGACTCGAAGAGTCTCCAGATGAAATCTACCAGTTATTTTTTTTTTTTTGGAGAGGATTCCTCTTCTAAGAATTAAGCTGCGTATATTGCCACTCCTCTGCCACCAACTACAGCAAAAGAAGGTACGTACAGTGCTATTTTATTAAATAAAGTTTCCGAGTTTGTTGCTGTAATGATAGGTACTGCATTTTCCTACATTTTTAACAAAGAAAACTTACTGAATTTTTGAAATAAAATCACAAAAATTTTGGGGAATAGAACGAATAAATTGCATTTGAAATAATTTCTGTGAAAAAAACTGCTTCGGTTAACAAACAATTTGGATAACGAACGGAGTCGCGGAACAGATTAAGTTCGTTTATCGGGGTTCCACTGTAATCTTGTTTCGGCAATCCGACTTTAATTAATTCTGCTTAAATGTTAAACCCGTTTAAAATGTACAGTGTGAATGGGATATAATTTTCTAAACATTCTTTAGTAAACTTTCACTAATTGTAATTGTAATTGTCCAACTACATTAATTGTAGCAAATTGTTTCTTTTTTCTTGACATTTTGTGAAGAGGGATGTTATTCGTTCGAAATTCGTTTCTGGTATCGTTATCGGTTATCTTTCTCGTTTTTCTTCTATAAGAACGTGTCATCTTTTATCTAAGGTTATCTCGAGTAGGATTTTTTAAGAGAAACTTTTAATAGTACTGTGGACCGCCGGAAGGGTATAGGTCTCCCGATCCGGCAACAGGTTGTTAAACCTTCTCACTGTCAGGATGGATTACAGTTCATCTTTTTCCCCGCGGTAACGGAATTTAATGTTTCGGGTCGAGTGGCGGAGGGAGGAGTGCCGTCGGTAAGATGACAGGCGATATACGAATAAAAGAGGACACCAATTTAACAATATAACGTTTACATTAGATATTACAATAAGTAATTTCATAGAAAAAATCTGAGTCCCTAAAACGCGAAGGGCCGAGAGAAAGTTCACAAAAATTTGTTCAATACCTCTTTCTGATGATAATCCTTTGACGAAAAAATTTGTGTTTCCTGTTGAGGAAAATACGATTAGGCGTAATATTTGAAGGATCACGTAGGATTCGTAGGACACAGTATTCGTAGGATATAAGATTCTTAGGACAATTATTTATAGGATATAATATTTGTAGGACACAGTATTAAAGTGACGGCGGATGAACGACTTCCCCGAGAAGGGGAAGCAAGTAGCTTTTATAGTTTCGTCGTGGGAGAATGGTCATGTGACCAATTGTTGTGAGGTAAAAGGTACGCGAATGGGTCAAAGTTGTCCAGGGGCCATGCTAACTATTAACTTAAGAGTTGGAATGTGGGATTGTTTTCGATATGGACAGATGTTTTCTTTGAACGAAAGGGGAGATTGGAATTTTTCCCTTTTTTAAGTTAGGTTTTATTTTAGAATTTAAAAAAAAATTTAGTTGGGGGTTTAGAAGAATGCGGTATATTAATCGGAAAATTCGGTAAAAATTCCGGATTTCACAGTACTAAAGTAAAACTGTTGTAATTTCTGTACTGCAACTCAAAGAAACTCAGTGTCTTCAACTTCAACTAAAGTCCATAATAGTTCAGCCAGTGATTCATTACATTAGAAAAATATTACTGTATTTTTATCTCTCCTCCATATGACGGCAGTCAACTACTTTTTGAAGAGTTTTTTCTCCTAATCATATTGTTCTATTTGCTAGTTTATCTCATCCGCAGTTATCTTTAACTGAGTTTTAATTTTTCATGTACAAATCTTGAACTGTATTCATTGTTTATGCTATTATATTGAATGCTTTTTTTCAGCTGTAGCATAAGGGTTTTGAATTATTCTGAGGAGCAATTTCCAGTGGGTTAGCTGCTTCGAACATATCCCACAGATCTGTGGATTTGAAGAATGCCACCATTGTACATTTTCATGTTGGCTAATTTAGAGTTATCAATTTCACTAGTTGATGAAAAGTTGTAGTTTTGGTAATCTTCATTTACAATAAAACTTCAAAAAATATGCCTGGATACATAAAAAATGATGAAAATGTACATCGATCATTTCCTGCCAAAAATGTATAGTCATTCACGACCCACTCCCAAAACAAATACAAAAACTTCTTATTAAATGAAAAACGTTAAAATAAAAAAGTTATTTATTATAACTAAATATAATAAAAATATCACTATTAACTATCATCCTCTTTTATTCTTTGTTTCGCGTGTCATCAAAAAACATTTAGTTTTATTCTAACAGCAATATTTTACACTATACAATTTAGGTTATCACATTAATTTAGTTTAATTGTTTATTAGTATGTGTNAACTTCGTCAATTTCTCTCTTCTTGTAAAGTTGTAATTATTTTAATTATTTTTATTTCCAAACTGATTTTAACCAGTTCTATAGTAAGGTAACATTCCAATAGACAATATGCAAAGCTTATTTTTCAGTTTACAGCAGTATTTATTACACAAAATTTAAGTAAAGCTTAACATGCTGATCTTGCCCCAATCTCCCCTAATAAAAATATCACTATTAACTATCATCCTCTTTTATTCTTTGTTTCGCGTGTCATCAAAAAACATTTAGTTTTATTCTAACAGCAATATTTTACACTATACAATTTAGGTTATCACATTAATTTAGTTTAATTGTTTATTAGTATGTGTCGGCAGAGTATGGAAACATATATGAACAATATGTAAGCGATGTGCGAAGGAAATGCTTAGTTAAATGCCATTAGAGAAGTGAACAATTCCAGGATCACATAGAAATTTCAAAAATTTCAGCAGGCAAAGCCGTGGATGAAGCAGAAAGTGCTATTAACTTTTCAGTTATATATATGCTAATGAGTTGGAAACAGCCATAGATTTTTCATAATATGATTTAATTTTATGACTGAATACAAAATGAATATTGCACGAACAGTTACAAAATACGCCTCTAATTATATAAGTAGTTTCACCGAATGTACTGACATTTCTCTGTCTGTAAATTTAATAAAAATCGGTACATACAAATCATTTTTAATAAAAAATATTTATTTGTATACTATGTTTATATTATGTTTTCTTTTATATTAAGAACACAGAAGCAATTGTATTTACACATATATAATATTATGTTTCAGGGAACATGTGAATTTATTGGGAGTTGCAACGAAATAAAAAATTTTCAAATGTTAACAGGAATATTATCAGAGCAGGAAATAGTTAAAAATAGCATTGAAGTAGACACTGCACTTTTTAAAGAAGATGAAATAATTGAAACTATTCATTCCACAATGTCTGATGATATCGAAGATAAGAACAACAGCAATGAGGTAAGTATTCTTTATTAAACAATTACTGCACATCAGTCTCATTTTTAGACTTTGTTCTTAACTTATGTACGTGGTATTAATTAATTACTAATCATACCATAAAATTATTGAAATTTACAAATAGATTGTAATCCTCAATTTTTTAAATTTTTGATTTATTAATATTTNGGTGTGAAATTTCTGAAGTTTTTCAAATTGTGTAATGAAAAGTTTAGTTTATTTCTGATCAAAAATTTTTTGCAGTAGTTGCTTTATTTTATTTTGTGATCTTATAAGGTTTGTTGTTCTATTACAGGTTCAATACTTATTTTTTAAAATTTATAATTACAGTATTTAGAATGTTTATTGTAAAATATAAATTACATGAATATTTATTAAGCGATTTATTATAAAATACATGTACTCTGTAGAAAAATCGTTACCTACATTTCGTTTTTATATTGACAGTATTTGTTTTAAGATGACAATACTGGTAAATGGGAGTTCTTTGTATTTACGTTAACACAGACATTATTTATTACAATATAACTCTTAATATTACAAAACAAACTTTATTTTATGTGAGCAACACGTCTGATCAGAAAATGGAGGATAGAGATTTATTAACAAGTATAATCCTTTTAGTATAAGAATAGGGTATTTAATAATCCGTTAAATTGCGACTTCGGATCTATTCCGCTTTGTCTTTGTCTCCTGACAAGAGTGATATAACACGAGCTACTGTATTAGTATTAAACATTATTATACAAATAACATAACTATTGTTATATCACAAAATTTTCTCGCGACGCTGTTATGAATTTATTTAAAAAATTAAATTTTACATATTAAATCACATATAATTTTCATTTTTCCAAGATATCTGATTGGTCATTCACTAAACACTGAACTGTACTCATAACCAAAGATCTTGATTTCTGTAAAGCTGCTTTAATCGGGCAAAACAAGCGTATCGATGTCTAACTTCACTTTAAATTGACTAACTGTATTAAGGCTTCTTTATCAAAAATTGAGTTGAAATTATTGATGGATATTAATAGGTTAATTGGAAGCTGCTAAATATACCTAGCAAATGTTGAAATACAGTACATTAACATTTACTTCTAATTCGTCGAATTATAAGTAAATATCTTTAAGTATTATTAAAGCATAAGTAAAATATAAGTAAATATCTATAATTTTTCGAATAATCAATAAATATCTCTTTTTTAAATCGGTAAAACATATTATAGCGAACACTTAATAATTTTTCCTAAGTCACGAGTAAGATATCTCATAACGAAAGAACTATAAAAGTATTATGTACTCGATTTAAGCATATTTCCGTGTATAATTTACATAGTTTTTTAATCATTTCGTACAGGAAGCTGAAAATAATGAAACCACAGGTGATGATGAAGAACATAAAGTCAGAATTTCAATTTATAAAGCATACGTCAAAGCCGGAGGAAGTTTTTTCTTCAAGATTATTATAATAGTAATGCTAGTCGTAACTCAATCGTTTACAAGTGCCAGTGACTACTGGCTAATCAAATGGTATGCTCTTATTATAATTAATTCAATTTTTGCTGGTGAATTGTTTTTATTAATAAAACTTTTAATATAAAAATATTACATTATATAGCCCTTGGATATTTGCACTGTGAGTCATTAAGCTATACGTCATTTTTTGAATATTTTTGTATTGAAATTTTCATAAAAAATTTAAAAATCCTCACATTCCAAACTTCTCACCTCTTACAACATGCTGTTGATCTTTTTCATTACGTCTCAACACGACTAAAGGCGTAGTGCAAAATTTTCACTAAAACTCTACCTTACGCTTTATTATCTGTTTTATTATTTCCGGTTATTAATTATAGATTCAGGATATTAACTTAATGTTCCATTTGTGCTTTTTTTTAGAATACTTTGAAGTTTGCAATCAAGTTGAACTTTTTGAAGATGTTTGTTTGTATCAGAAGATTTTTATTTTTATTCCAATAAAACAGTGTTTTTTATTTTCCTGTTACTTTTCATGGACACAATATAGTGACACTTCATAAACACTTGGTAACCAAATAAAAGATGAATAATCTGCACGTGTTTAAAAAGTGTCACTGCATTGTTTCTATGAAAAGTAATTGGAAGATTTTTTTAAGCACAATTTTTTTGCATTGAACACCCAATACATAATATTTGTACGTATTCCTACGTCAATATGTTCTGATAGATTTTCAAAGTTATGTAAAATTTGTTTTTCCATGATTACTCCTTTATACACAAATGTACCCCCGCCATCAGACAGAAAAATTAAACAAAAAAAAATTTTTTTAATTCAGTAAAAATTGACGCTTATAAGCAATCTCTATTTCTTTGTATAAATATTCTCACCTTTTGTATTAATCTATGATTTTGTGCATTATAATACACACTTTAGGATCAATGTGTAAAATTTTCAATAATTAAACTCATGAAAATTTCGCTAATACTTAAGAAGAATGATATAAGAGTATTAAAAATATTAACAGACAAAAATTTCAAAATCCATCCACAAATTTCCTAACACACCAAAACAGCTTTGAATTTTTTACATTTATCAATACAAAACAGAGTTTAAAATTATATTATGTAATATTCAAAATAAATTCCAATTATGTAGTTATTGATTTAAAATAATACCAAGTTTATAGCCAAGTTTATAATTTCAAAGAAAAATATTATAACAGAAGTAGTAGTGATTTGGGTGGACTGATCACAAATTTTTCAATCATAATTTAATTTTTCAATGTACTTTCAGATAAAAATTGAAACATGCTGATGACAAATTACGTTTTCAAGAGAAATCTTAATCACTAAATTTAATTACAAATGTTGGATAAATTGCGATTACAAATAATTTGTTGTGTTTAATTTTTAAATAAATTTCTCAGGTTATAAATTATTTTCAGATAAAAATGTCTCAAGTAAATTAAGATTATAAATAATTTTAATATTTCAATTCGTTTCTTCAGTTTTTATATTTATAAAATTTAAAATTTATTTCTTTAGTTAATATATTTACAAAACTTTTCATTTATTTAGTTTTCATATTCAAGAAATCATTACAATTCAGTTCGTCGCTTCAGTTATCATATTAGAAAACTTTACAGTTCAGTTTTCATATTAGAAAACTTTACAGTTCAGTTTTCATATTAGAAAACTTTACAGTTCAGTTTTCATATTAGAAAACTTTACAGTTCAGTTTTCATATTAGAAAACTTTACAGTTCAGTTTTCATATTAGAAAACTTTACAGTTCAGTTTTCATATTAGAAAACTTTACAGTTCAGTTTTCATATTAGAAAACTTTACAGTTCAGTTTTCATATTAGAAAACTTTACAGTTCAGTTTTCATATTAGAAAACTTTACAGTTCAGTTTTCATATTAGAAAACTTTTCAATTTGGTTTTTTAGTTTTTATTAAAACTTCTTTATTAATTAGTTTTAACTATTAATGTCTCATTTACAAGTTTCTGTGAATTCACAATTGTCCACCTTTATTTGAATTGATGCAATATGTCCAATTTACATATAGGTGTGAAATTTCTGAAGTTTTTCAAATTGTGTAATGAAAAGTTTAGTTTATTTCTGAACGAAAATTTTTTGCAGTAGTTGCTTTATATTCTTTTGTGATCTTATAAGGTTTGTTGTTCTATTACAGGTTCAATACTTATTTTTTAAAATTTATAATTACAGTATTTAGAATGTTTATTGTAAAATATAAATTACATGAATATTTATTAAGCGATTTATTATAAAATACATGTACTCTGTAGAAAAATCGTTACCTACATTTCGTTTTTATATTGACAGTATTTGTTTTAAGATGACAATACTGGTAAATGGGAGTTCTTTGTATTTACGTTAACACAGACATTATTTATTACAATATAACTCTTAATATTACAAAACAAACTTTATTTTATGTGAGCAACACGTCTGATCAGAAAATGGAGGATAGAGATTTATTAACAAGTATAATCCTTTTAGTATAAGAATAGGGTATTTAATAATCCGTTAAATTGCGACTTCGGATCTATTCCGCTTTGTCTTTGTCTCCTGACAAGAGTGATATAACACAAGCTACTGTATTAGTATTAAACATTATTATACAAATAACATAACTATTGTTATATCACAAAATTTTCTCGCGACGCTGTTATGAATTTATTTAAAAAATTAAATTTTACATAATAAATCACATATAATTTTCATTTTTCCAAGATATCTGATTGGTCATTCACTAAACACTGAACTGTACTCATAACCAAAGATCTTGATTTCTGTAAAGCTGCTTTAATCGGGCAAAACAAGCGTATCGATGTCTAACTTCACTTTAAATTGACTAACTGTATTAAGGCTTCTTTATCAAAAATTGAGTTGAAATTATTGATGGATATTAATAGGTTAATTGGAAGCTGCTAAATATACCTAGCAAATGTTGAAATACAGTACATTAACATTTACTTCTAATTCGTCGAATTATAAGTAAATATCTTTAAGTATTATTAAAGCATAAGTAAAATATAAGTAAATATCTATAATTTTTCGAATAATCAATAAATATCTCTTTTTTAAATCGGTAAAACATATTATAGCGAACACTTAATAATTTTTCCTAAGTCACGAGTAAGATATCTCATAACGAAAGAACTATAAAAGTATTATGTACTCGATTTAAGCATATTTCCGTGTATAATTTACATAGTTTTTTAATCATTTCGTACAGGAAGCTGAAAATAATGAAACCACAGGTGATGATGAAGAACATAAAGTCAGAATTTCAATTTATAAAGCATACGTCAAAGCCGGAGGAAGTTTTTTCTTCAAGATTATTATAATAGTAATGCTAGTCGTAACTCAATCGTTTACAAGTGCCAGTGACTACTGGCTAATCAAATGGTATGCTCTTATTATAATTAATTCAATTTTTGCTGGTGAATTGTTTTTATTAATAAAACTTTTAATATAAAAATATTA